GTGTATCTTCTTCAATGTCTCTCCTTTTCTCTGTACATCGTTGGATTTCGATTTTTGGTTTTTTTTTTTTAGCTGAATTGATCAAAACCCATTTGGTTTCTGTTCTAGATCGAACGCTTTCGAGGGAGATAGCTCTCAGTCTAGCTCGCTAGTTTCTTCTTAGGTCTACGGCTGCTAGTTTTTGCTTTATGCCCATTTGGATTAGGACATGGAATCGATAATGCAACAGTTTTGTGGTTGCAGGTCAATCCAATTTTGCTAACAAAATAGCGCTTACTTACCGGAAAACTCCTGTTGTGATCCCTGAAAATGGGATGAATGTTTGTCCGTTGGAGTTCAATGAGTATATACCTTGTCACAATGTTACTTACGTGCAACAGCTTCTTCCAAGCTTGAATGTTTCGAGAAGAGAAGAGCTTGAGAGACACTGTCCACCACTTGAGCAGCGTCTATTTTGTTTGGTGCCTCCGCCTAAAGATTATAAGATACCAATACGTTGGCCGACTAGCAGAGATTATGTGTGGAGAAGCAACGTGAATCATACACATCTTGCTGAAGTTAAAGGCGGGCAAAATTGGGTGCATGAACAAGGTCAGTTATGGTGGTTCCCTGGTGGCGGTACTCATTTCAAACACGGAGCTCCAGAATACATCCAGAGGTATTTGAAATTATCATTTTTTTGGTTTCTGAAGCTTATACCTGGTTTTTTACGTGTGCCTAATGCATTCCCCTGAATTTTTGTATGTAACTTCAGGTTAGGAAACATGACGACTAACGAAACAGGTGATCTACGTTCAGCTGGGGTTGAACAAGTTCTTGATGTTGGATGTGGAGTTGCTAGCTTTGCTGCTTATCTTCTTCCCTTAGGTATACAGACAATGTCTTTTGCCCCTAAAGATGGTCATGAAAACCAAATCCAGTTTGCGTTGGAGAGAGGAATCGGCGCTATGGTTGCAGGCATAGCCACAAAACAAATGCCATATCCCGCAGCCTCGTTTGATATGGTTCATTGTTCAAGATGTCGTGTTGATTGGCATGAAAATGGTATGTCTCTTGTAATGTTCTTTCTGTTTTTCAGTGCCTTGCTTGGTTTTGTATCAATGATTGCCCTACTAATGCAATAATTTGCGCTTGGTTCTGCAGATGGTATCTTGATTAAAGAAGTTAATCGTCTTCTCCGACCCAATGGATACTTTGTTTATTCAGCACCACCTGCTTACAGAAAGGATAAAGATTTCCCTGTGATTTGGGATAAGTTGGTCAATCTAACTACCGCAATGTGCTGGAAGCTCATTTCCCGAAAGGTACAGACTGCAATATGGGTGAAGGAAGATGACGAGGCTTGCCTTAGGAAGAATGCAGAGCTTGAGCTTATAACCATATGTGATGTGGAAGATGTTTCAAAAGCTTCCTGGAAAGTTCCTCTTAGAGACTGCGTGGACATTAGTGGGGACATACAACAGAAATCCTCTTTTTTGTTAGCTGAACGTCTATCGGCATATCCAACTAGTCTAAGAAAAACAGGTACATTTCTTCTATTCAATTCGTTGTAGAAACAGCTTTATGTTCTTTCTCAATTCAGTTGGAAATACTTTTACCAGGCATCAGCGAAGATGAATTTACATTGGATACAAACTTCTGGAGAGAACAAGTGAATCGTTACTGGGAGTTAATGAATGTTAACAAGACTGACGTGCGGAATGTGATGGACACAAACGCGTTCATTGGTGGATTTGGTGCAGCTATGAACTCATATCCCGTTTGGATCATGAACGTTGTACCTGCTACGATGAACGATACCTTATCCGGAATTTACCAGAGGGGCTTAACCGGTGCTTATCATGATTGGTAAGCAAATATGATATTTTTCTCAAATTTGATCCTTTCTCACTCACCTTTAAGCACCAATAGTAAAACTTTTGTTTATATGCTAGGTGTGAACCATTCTCAACATATCCCCGCACATACGATCTGCTACACGCGGACAAACTTTTCTCTCACTATCAAACCCACGGTGAAGGTTGTTTATTAGAGGACATCATGCTTGAGATGGACCGCATTATACGCCCTCAGGTATTTTAACGTAGCATTAACCTTAAGCCACCTCTTATTAGTGTCACTACCAATGAATTCATAACCCATGTCATCTTTTTGGGGTTTGCAGGGATTCATCATTATTAGGGACGAGGAAGCGATCATCTCAAGAGTCCGAGACTTGGCTCCTAAATTCCTTTGGGAAGTCGAAACACATGAGCTGCAAAATAAATTCAAGAAGACGGAAACTGTTCTATTTTGCAGAAAGAAGTTCTGGGCAATCCTCTGAAACAATGAGCTTGTCAGATTTTTGCAGATGAATATCTCAAAGGAAAGCAAGAACACAGAAAATTCATTTTTGTTTTTTTACTCTCTTGGTTTCTAAGAGGAAAGAAAGTTTGTAACTTTTGTTCATTGATTGATCAGTCTGTACATGTTTTGTTTCCCCCACATTCATAACCGAACCTATACTTACTACTGCTTAGTCGATTTTAGGTGAATTTTGAACCAGAAAAGTTTATTATATCCAGAAAAGTTTGACAAAGTTTATTATATCCAGAAAAGTTTCATATTGGTCCTTGGTGTTTTCTGTATTTGCTAATTGC